AGGGAAGCACCCTGTGGGTCAGCTCCCTGGCTGGGGGAGCTTGTGCTGCAGTGGTTGCAGAGAGCTTCATAGTTCTGCCCTTTAACCCGTTGAGCCACTTTGGGGGGCGGGGGGCCTTCTGTGATATTCTTATCTTTAAATACTGGGCAAAGGTACAAGAAGCAGAGATTTGGTGGTTGTCTTGTGAGTTGAGGGATGCACTGGCTCAATCCCCTGGCCCTGGTGTAGCTCTGCCTGTAAGCACAAGCTCTGGCCATGGCAGGTCCTGGTTTCTGGCCAGGAACACACCAGCATGTCCCAGGGACGCTCTGGAGGATGAGTCATGGAGCCCTCTTGCTACTTATTAGCAGAAACAAACAAGCATGATTGGTTATGTGAGAGTGGCAGCAGGAGCAGAATCCAGGGGAGACTCTCCCCATTTTCATGGGGAATGGAGAGGATGTGTTGGCCTCGCATACAGGGAGGACTTCCGGTGCAGGTGCTTGGCGTAATGGCTGAGCTACCCCAGACCGCGGCCACACAGTCAGCTAGCGGCTGCCCAGTGATGTGGGCCATGTCTCGGGGCAGTCGTGCAGGAGGGCCTTATCCCTGCCCTTCACACACATGCAGGTGCATAAGGAGACCAGGCACATAGGTGCAGAGGCCCTAAGTGGGAGAGAGGCCACACTGGGGTCCTCTGGTTCCTTTCTGGACTGTCTCCCATGTTGATTTTGTTCAGCTCAGCAGTTACCCGGAGGGAGCCCCCAGCATTAGTGGAGCCCACTCTTTCTCTCTTCCTGACCTCTCCCATGCTGTTCCCTATTCCAAACACCCTCTCTAAGCACATGACACTCTGCCTGCTGTCCAGTGAGCAGTTCCTCTGAGCACATTCAACACAGAGGCCTGTGGTCTGTGGCTCTGACACTGCCTGAGGATGTATAGCTTGTGTCCTGCACACAAGGCTTCCGGCTGGGACAGGTGGGGACAGGTGAGGACAGGTGAGGAAGGTGAGGTCAGAGGCGCAGTTCTTGTTCTTTTCACATTGGTGAGAATGCTCCAACATCTCTACTTCTCTTGCTGTTTGTAATGCTGTGATGGAGTTACCGGGGCCTCTTGAGGAGAATTAAGTATTTCGGTTCAGGGTAACCTGAAGATGTCTTGGGATGAAGTCAAGCAATGAGTATGTGCTGGTCTAGTTGCTCATCTTTAGTCAAAACACTTAAATGTCTTTTATGCCAGGTGTGTTGTTCTCATGGATATAGACAAGGGTCTCTCTTTTATGGTGCTTTTCTTCCAGTTAGAAAGAAAGAGATAATAAATTAAGAATGGACAAAAGAAACAACAGGAATCGAGAAGGCTATTCTGGTCTAATTTTGGTTCAGATCAAATTTCCTTCTGCTTCAAAATAATCCACTTCTCTCTGGTCTCTTGCTATGTTCACCAATACATCTCTTGATCACTAGTTTAATTAACTAAGCTTTCTCTATAGATAAAGAAGTACACAGTGTTTAGTTAATAAAAAGGAAGAATTTGGCTGCTGACAGCTGATAAACAGACTTCTGGTCTACAGATCAGTTTTGTATGAATTTAATGTGTCTTTGACAGTTTGATCATTCTTGGTGTTGATAAAATCTGCTTCTGACACTACAAAGCCAAGACCAGATTTTTCATTAGGGAAAATTCATCAAGATAGTCATCCTCCAAAAATCAACTCATCAGACTTCCCACTGACCTCACACTTTTAAGCTCCAAAACTGTACGATACTGATGGCTGATGAACGAGAAACAGAAAAAATAACCCCCACCAGCAAGTCCTGCTTCCCTTCCATGACCCACACAAAGACAAGTGTCTCACTTCAGCTTTGCAAGTAACCACTGAAAGCTTCTGAGTCTGATTTCTTTTTTTTTTTTTCTTTCGGCAGTGGAACACTTGAGCCTGGAATGACTTACACAAAATTAATTGATGCAGATGTTAATGTCGGAAACGTTACAAGTATAGTGTTCAGTTGGAAGGAACATTCCTTTGGACATTCTCAGAATAAGTTGGGAGCAGAAACGGTGACAGATAAATCTGGAATATATGGGTACAAGTAAGTATTGTTTTTCACATGCATATTCAAATAAAATTTAAGCTTTTTACATGGCATTTTAAAAACACTTCTAGTTTGAAATTTGCAAACTAGTTAGAAAATTTATCTGCCTTGAAATTCTGCAATTAAAGGAATTATTAAAGAAATCAATTCTATCTTTGCAAAAGTGTTCACAAAATAATAATTGTTCATGAAATTAGAAGACCTATGTCTTCTCTACTCACCCGTGGAATTATATTAATTTTCCTTTCTCCCCCTTTAACTTTTTCAGATCCACCTTCTGTAGCCAAGATGTTATAGGACCTAACACTGCCCAAATCCTGAAACCATGCTAACGCCAGATACTGCCATGATGGATCCACTTAATGGGAACAGTGAAAAAATAATCTCCTTCCAGTCATTGTCCAAGCCAAACTTGGACCTTGTAAATGACATAGCAAAGTATACTTGTTTTTTTATGTACGGGATGTTTGCTCAGTACAAACTTTTTATGTGCCTTAAAAACAGGCTGAGCCCTGGTGCCGAGTATAGTGCTGTGATCTCTAAGAATCCAGCTATAACAGACAAAGTTAATCTGCATTAGTTGCCCCAGCTGGGAGGTGGTGTGAAAACAAGGCAGTATAAACTCATCAGGCGCAAGCGAGTCTGAGGATGGAGTGATTGAGTGAAGTTAGAGGATTCCCAGGTAGAACAGTCATTGTTCTGAAATGATTTAAGGAATTTTATTGTGTTGTGTAATCTTACTAAGACAAATCATAGGCATAGTTTATGATATCTAGTAGATTATAACCCTGTGGGTTAATCTGTCTATTAATAATGGAAACTAATGAGAGTGTGTTAATATTTGCAAGGTGTTCTTTAGTCTTCAGAATGTGTATGAGAAAGAGAGAATTTGGAGCTTATCTGTGATGTGAGTGTCAGCTAGCAATGAGGATCATCACCTTGTCTTCTAGAAACCCCTGCCCAAGGGAACTACTCACCCCCTTTCGCCTTGCAGGCCCCCTTGCAAATCTGTAGCCTGAAGGAAGCATTTCATTTCTAAAGCACTTGAATAAATGTTTGTGTTTGTAATATAATACTGCAATATTTAAATGGACCAACTGTGTTTTTCCTTTTCGTTGGAATCACTTTCTTCTAATTCAGTTGCCCTTATCAGGGAAAATGAAAATTGAACCTTTTATTTGCTCGGTTTTCTAACTCTGGGCTCAGTGTTTAACTCACAACCCTGGACTATAAATATTGTTGAGAAGAAGCGATGGCAGACATTCTGCAGAGGGTTTTTTGATTCTGCCTGGTCCCTCGCCGCCAGCTGAACCTGCAGAAGTCACCTAAAGCGGAGCGTGGCGTCGAGTCATGGCAGCAGCCCAAGAACAGAGTGTGGACACTCTTTTCTGTTGGGCCAGGAGACAGAGATGGGCTTGAGCACAAAGCTTGGTGCAAACAGGAAAGACAAGGAGCCACACTTAGCATCCTCCAGCTCGTGTCCCACCTCTCGGGTGGGCACAGTAGCCATTGTCCTAGGCCGGCTACAGAGTGGCCACGAGCAACCCCCAGGGAGGGTCAAGTCCTAGAGACCGACGACCCCGGGCCCAGCACTCCCTGGCATCCGTCCTAGCACACTGGAGGGACGTGAGCACCGTGCCCAGGGAGGGGGACCTCCTGTGAGAGCTGCTGTCCTGAGCCTTTTTCCTCTCGGCAGACATGCGCAGAAGAGTTACAGGGCCACCTGGGGCCATGGGTTCCGGGCCTGCCTCCTTGTCCACGAGGTCTCTTAGCTGCCTCCTTGTAAGCCTCACAGGCAGATTGGAGATAATTAACTTCTGGGGTCCTTATTTTAGTGGGTATTGACTTTCTTTCCTATTCTTATATGAACATCAAAATGTCCACTCCACCCCCCCTTTTTTGTGTGCAAGGATTTAGAGAAAGGGACGCCAAAAGCTTGAGGTGACAATAGTATTGTGTAAGGGTCTTATTGCCTTGGAAAGTGCTAAAAAGAACAATTCCTGTTTCCTCTGAGGCTCTTACATTATCAAGGCATAGTATTAGGAGTCTACAATTGATGGGGCAAAAAAAAAAATAAGCTTCTTGGATGAACTACTAATGCTGAAAAATGACTTCCAATTGAGCTAGTCATTGGCCTTCTGCAATCCCTGCTGCCACATTTATATCGATAAAGGCTAAGACCAGAAACTGGAGGTGGAGTAGAAGGGATTCCTATAGTTGTTGAATGAAATCCTTAATTGCAGACTACTTAGGCAAGTCTCTGGAGACACAGACCAGAGGTAGGAATCTGGACACTGAGGGCCAGAAAATCCCAGCTCCTTGTGTATAAATCAACCTTGTCGCACCCTAAAAGAATGAATCCCTCCCAGAAAGAAAAACACCTTATCAGTCCACTTTCCGCAACGGCAAACACAGCTCTCTAGCCCAGCTCTGACAGAGCAGGTGCCACTGTTTTCCTTTCTCTGTTTCCTAATGCACCTGTCACTTTAAAATGTAGCTTTCACCTGCCTGTGTCTCCTTGGTAAACTCCTCTGTGAGCTACTGAAAGGGGAGCTCAGCCAAATCTTTCTTCAGATGTCACCCAAGATTCCACTCACTGGATGTAACACTCATGAACATGACATCAATACCTTGTCATATCTCCTGGAAATGCTACTGCCAAAGTTGACACTATCTCCTTCATCCACTACAAAGGACTCCCCTTCAGATTCACCAAGTAACATCTTCTTATCTTTTAATTTGGATCCATTACTCTCTTCTTTCTTAAAAACACTGGACTTTTCATGCGGTATTTTTTCATACCCAGCTAAAGTTGCTCAATATATCCATAATAACTCTTAGGAATTCCTTAATTCTCAGGCTTTTTTCCCATTCATCCTGTCAAGCAAAACCTCAACCAGGATGCACTCACTTCTGCAGGCCAGGACCCTAACAAATGAGTGCTCCTAGGAACTAAAAACTAGTCATCAACAAGGTTTCAAAATTCTGTGTGTGTGTTTTTTTTTTTTAATATAGCTCTTATCCAGATCTCATCTCCTACTTGGTACAGAAAGCAGAGATCATTGGAAAACCAATCCCCCTTCTTCTGATCCAAACATATGAACTATATATATCTTCATCTTTTCTATCCTTTTCCCCCTGCCCCCGCCCAAGTTAAGAGCTGCTCCCAAACCATGAGCCTCACCCTCTCCAACTTTGTTGGGGACTCTACCCTACTGTTTAATTTTCTTTCTCTAGTAATTTCAACCTCTTACTACAACAGATTTTTAAAACTAAGTTTCTCCTTTTAGGGAAAAAATTACTCTCAACCCTAAATGCCCTTCTATTCCAATGTAACCTCAGAACATCTCTCACCGTATTTCTAACAACCTCTAATCACTAAATGAATATGGGAAATTCGGCATATTTGCTCTATCCCTCTGCAGAATCCAACACTGTTGTCAA